GGTGTTGCAGTTCTTTTGTTATTTTCCCTAAATGTGTAGCAGATTAAAAAAGAATTTTTATGTTGCAGAAACTCGTATCAATTTTTTTCAAATGCATCAATATATAAAACACAACAAGAAACAATATTTTGAAAGTGTGTATTAACTTCCAATTTGCAATTAAATGATGTGAAAATTATCCGTACGGCAAAATATATCATATTTTACGTTTTTAGGTAGGGAATCCCCAATGTTCTGAAAAAGTGCCTCCTTGAAACAAAATAATTTTGATATATACACAAAGAGACAGGAATATCCTTCAAAACTGCCATATCAGGTTTTTGTTTCAAAAAGGCACATTTTTGACAAACGCAAAAATTGAATAAAAATTATTCTCCAAACGAAATGCGAAATGTGTACTTTAAATAACGCGGCTAAATCATCCTGTCCGAAATGGTCTATTGGATATGCTTGTGGGCTTCCTGCTAGTACTTTTACCAAAGAATGGGTTCGAATCCTGGTATGGATCATTTTTGCATATGTTTTTATGCGCCCGGATCGATAGATTTCGGGCGTATATTGTTTTTGTCCTGTCTGTTTGTCTGTTTGTCTGTCTGTCTGTTGTCAACTTTAACCTTGGCCATAACTTTTGAACAATAAAAGATAGAGACTTCATATTTGGTATGCATACTCCACTAATAAAGTCCTTTCAAATGACATCAAGGTCAATGACCTTGTGACCTTGACTGTGACCTATATGCTAAAAATAGCTTTTTCCACTGTTTGTCATAACTTTTTAACCATAGGAGATAGGGACTTCATATTTGGTATGCATACTCCACTAAAAGAGTCCTTTCAAATGACATCAAGGTCAATGATCTTGTGACCTTGACTGTAAACTATATGCTAAAAATAGCTTTTTACACTTTTTGCCATAACTTTTGAACCATAGGAGATAGGGACTTCATATTTGGTATGCATACTCCACCGATTAAGTTCTTTCAAATGACACCATGGTCAATGACCTTGTGACCTTGACTGTGACCTATATGCTAAAAATAGCTTTTTCCACTGTTTGTCATAACTTTTGAACCATAGGAGATAGGGACTTCATATTTGGTATGCATACTCCACCGATAAAGTCCTTTCAAACGACGGCAAGGTCAATGATCTTGTGACCTTGACTGTGACCTATATGCTAAAAATAGCTCTTTACACTTTTTGCCATAACTTTTGAACCATAGGAGATAGGGACTTCATATTTAGTATGCATACTCCACTGATTAAGTTCTTTCGAATGACACCATGATCAATGACCTTGTTACCTTGACTGTGATCAATATGCTAAAAATAGATTTTTTGAACTTTGTTGCCGCCGGGCGCATAGTGTTTCACAAACACATCTTGTTCCATATGTAATGGTAGTGCAATGAAATTATGTATATTCTGAAAGAGAGGTGGGGGAATGTCAAGAAGTTAGTTGAGTAATAACCAATCTATATATTAGAAATGCAGGATTAAATTGTTAAAATCTTTGATGTGCTGTGACTTAAAACTAATGCTTCATTTACATGTAGTTTTGTCTTGGAAAATAAAGTTACTGTATTGTTTAAATAATTTATTTTTTACATACTTTAGTTATTGCAATTCTGAATAATTTTGGTCTCTTAGTTAGTAGCCAAGATTTGATTTGAAACAAATGAAATGTCTTGGATGTAGCACCAACAGTGTGATTATGGGACGCAGTTTTATTTCATGAAAAATATTTTTGCACTATGTCTGAAAAATATTTTTGCACTATGTCTACAGTATATCTATCAAAATGCTGCTTTAGCCAATGTGCTTTCTGTTCTTCCAACCTCTTTCGTGCAAAATGACGAAAGTGTTTTGTTGTATCAAGAAGGAAATACCCGCCGTAAACATAGTCCTCTACGTAGCTGTATCTATATTTAGACATAACGAGGGTATTTAAATGTCCTTCTCATTATATAGGGAATAATCGCGAGTTTCTGCAACGCCCTCTTTTCTTGTGTCTATCCATTGCTGGGATGTATGTCTATCTTATAAAAGCAGATTTTTAAAGATTGAGCCCATTTTGTGCCGAGTATAGAACTACCTTAAAAGCACACAGCTAGAAAAAGATAAAAGTGGAATAAACCAAATTCACAAGACTTATAACATGTAAGGAGACGGTCATTTTGCACATTTACAGTTTTTGAAGAGTTATCCGCCCTTGATGAAAAGAAGAAAATTTTTGATTTCCCAAAATTTCTTTTTATATTTTAATAAAGAGGGAATTTATGCATATTTTCACCAAGAGATTTCTTTGAAATTCAAATTACTTTTTACAATATCTTATAAAAACATGCACTGCCCATATACTTCAATGTAAAATTCAAAGTGATATTAATTGGACAATAATCAAAATTTTGTAAATTTCTTTGGTGGAGCATTTTCATTTGATAATATCTTCTAATTGCTACCATGATTAAAAATATTGGTCCATTCATTTATTAGGTACAAAATATGGTCGTTATACATTGAATACCTTAAGTGCCAAAATTACTCACACTATTCCATTATCCTTATTTTATTATACAACACAAAAAGGGGAAGGGGCGATCTTTTAATGAACGTTTTAAATGGTACAGTGTAAATAGTATTTGGACCTCCCTTCCCCCATGTTGAATTACGTGCCTGTATGCATCTACTTTCCAAGAATACCTATGGTTAGAAATCTTATGACATTCAGTGCCTCTCGCAGATGCCAACAAACATAGTAAGAATATGTATGCTGTTAAGTAATAGAATAAAATTTAATCTCACTTAACCTGAGAGAGTCGCGGAGTAAGGAGTTGATCCTTACGTCTCAGTCGTGTTCGAATCCCACTGTGGGACGTGAGAACGGTCGGATGGTCCTTCGGATGAGACCGTTTAAACCAATGCCCGTGTCGCAGTTGATGGTGACACGAAAAAGATCCTTCACTGCTCAATCTGCTAACTTAAGATAGCTTTGAAAAACACCATCTTATGATGATCCTAAGATTTTTTAAGATACATCTTAGGAAATTTCTTATGAACAATCTTAGGAAAGTTTCGTAAACATGCCTGCTGGTCTACTACGTTTACATTTTATCACAGACACGTGGTTGAGGTAAATTTACCTGTTATCCTTTTCTCTATATTTCAAACTTTTATAATGGTCAGTCGAGGCTGTTTATACATAATAATACGCATGGATTTTCAGCATTTACGGTTTTCAGGACAAGAAATGCACATGAAACTTGTATTCACTGATACTCGGGAATACGCGTAGGCCTAGCGAATTACTCACAAAACACGCTACAAAACTTTAAACTAATGTATATTTATTAATTGTTTGTAACTGTATATAATTTTTACTGTGGTCTCGGGAGCTGTTCATATGTAGATCCATGTTTAATCTGTGACTCAAATGCATTAAAAAAGTATCGGAAAGCAGTAAAATTCCAAGCATATTTCCATAGTATTTATGTGGTACTCACTCGTAATGAATTTCATTTAGCTGATTGGACAGTTAGAATGTATCGCTAGTGTTTCGATTAGCATATGAATTTATTCTTACGTCAGAAAATCTAGTCCGTCGATCTGTTCATAATGGGGAAGGCCAGTTAGATTTTACAGTTATTTTAAAAAATGGCATGTGGGCGCAGTTATAGGTACAATTTTCTCCTTTCACATGTAGGTAGATTTCAAGAAAACACAGTGACCAGCCAAAGGAGAAAATTGTACCTATCTGCGCCCGTATGTTTTAAGGGCTTCAAAGAGTGGGCGGGGTTAAAATGCAATGGGAATTGGATGTAAACATAATACCCCTGCCTTTATAAAAGATCTGTTTCTTTCAAATCTCGTTTCTTTCTTTTTTGTTATAAATAGTATTCTATAAAGGTATACATATCAGTGATCAGTTATATACAAAATTTGAGTAAAATTTAGACATTTAATTTTTTGTCAATTTACCCAGGGCTGCAAGTCACCTAGCTCATCCTTTCCCCCCAAAATAAGCCATTCACCAGAGTTTGACACACCCCTTAAAAATCTAGGCCAATGACCTATTTATTTTTGGGCATCATTTGCTACTTAATTATCTTGTTAACATTGTATCTTAATATGAATAAAAATTCTATTGCAGAATTCTTTTACTCATCACTTTTATACCACAAACTCGCATTTTCCCTTTACTTGCTATAGTAATTATTGATTTTTGTTGCCTACTTTTGAAATGCGCCCTATTAAAAATCTATATCGATGACCATATATTTTTTTCATCGATTTTTACTCACAAAAAGTCACTTTAGCTCATATTAAAATTTGAGATTTTCTATTATAGAAATGAATTAGGTCCCTCATCGTTAACCTTTATTAACCATTACTAATAGATGTAATAAAAATATAAAGGCTGCCGAGAACCTGTTTTATACGTAATAACTCTCCTCATGCCCCTATGCTAAGAATAGCGACATGTAATACAATTAATAATAAAACAAACGGGGCGGGACACTTTGAGAGGGGTGAGAGAGGTCCTAGGGAGTTTAAGTATAAAATGACATTGCAAAAGCTCAAAATCTTCTTGAAATATCAGCCGGAAAGGAGAGTGTTACAAACAGACAGAATGTATAAATTTAATTTACTGTCTTGAACTTTGACCTTTGGACTTCATAATCAATAGGGGTCTTCCTTAGGCTACAGGAAGTTGTAACGTAAAATTTTATTGCAAAAGCTCAAAGGGTTCTCGAGATATCGCGCAGAAACGAAAGTTATAACAGACAGAATTTGCGAATTTATGACCTTGACCTTTTGACCTCAAAATCAATAGGGTTCTTCTTTAGTTCTTAGGGAGTTGCTATGCAAAATTTCATTTCGAAAGCTCAAAGGGTTTTTGAGATATCGTGTAGAAACGAAAGCGTTACATACAGACAGAAAGATGGACAGAGCCAAATTAATATCCCCCACTTTTCAAGCGGGGGACAAAAAACAATTACTTCCAAGATCTATCACCATGTACTTAAAGCCTGTCGTTAGTTTATCTTTAAAGCCAGCCTTGTTTGGGCCTCTGTCCCACTTTAGATGCATGTACTGACAATAAATAGATGCAGCCTCTGATTCCAAGGCAATCTTCAGCTGTTCCTTTTGTATACCTGCCTGTTATGAATAAAACATAATGCATTTCAAACATGAAACATGTCATAATAAACAAAATGAAAAACTGTTACCAAGGATTTTATTGAAACACAATTTAGAGCTCTCATTGATAAACTGATTTTTTTTTTAAAAAAATATCAATGTACTGATTATGACACTTTTTGTTGTTGTTATATATGTGGACATTGAGATTATTAATGACAGCTCTAGCCCAAAATGAAAACATTTAATATTTAAATTGATTTGCAAAAGTTCAATTAATCTTGAAAAAATTACGTACCATTTGGGCAGCTGCTATCATGAGCATCTTTGCAGTGTCGTCCCATATAGCTGGCACAGTGATGACAAAATCAATGTCACTCACTTTGATTTCACCAGTGACTTGTATGTTCATTCTTTCCAGCATGCAGTCTTTCAGATATTGGATACAATAGGTGAAGATCTGAAGAGCATTGAATTCTTTCCCTGTCTCATCAATGCAAACTGTTTTTCTATGTACTCTCTAAAAAATCAATATATTAAATTAAATTTTTTAATACATGTAATTTAAAAAGAGCTGAGTGTATGTGGACATTTCAAGATTTTTTTTATCTCCTTTATAATATTAAAGATATACAAAAATTATCAAATTTAAAAGCTAAAATGTATGATTTTTTTTCTTTGCAGAATGCTTATTGACAGCATAAAAGATATCATGTCTAAATGATTAAGTTATATCTGATTGGTTATAATGTGTTGATGCACCAAACTCCTGAATTAATTCATTTGATACTAAAAAAATATTTACAATTAATTCCTGTTAATTAAATGCAAAAAAAAAAAATTACGCTAGAAAAAAATTACCACAGATGAAACAAGAGGCCCAGGGGCCACATCACTCACCTGAGCAATTGGCTAGGAAAAACACAGATCAGATCAGAACTGAAAGTAAACTGGGGGGGGGGGCTTGAATTTTACACCCCCCCCCAGAGGGTCATGATTTGAACAAACTTGAATCTACACTACCTGAGGATGATCCCACATGAGTTTCATCTTTCCTGGCCCAGTGGTACTTGAGAAGAAGATTTTTAAAGATTTTCCCTATTTATTCCTTTGTAAAACTTTTATTGGCCATTTTGGCCCAACCCATCTGAATCTACACTACCTGAGAATAATTCCACATGAGTTTCATCTTTCCTGGCCAAGTGGTTCTTGAGAAGAATATTTTTAAAGATTTTCCCTATATATTACTATGTAAAACTTTGATCGGCCATTTTGGCCCCATCCTACCTCCTGGGGTCATGATTTGAACAAATTTGAATCTACACTACCTGAGGATGATTCTACATGAGTTTCATCTTTCCTGGCCCAGTGGTTCTTGAGAAGAAGAATTTTCATATATATTTCTATGTAAAACTTTGATCGGCCATTTCGGCCCCATCCTACCTCCTGGGTTCTTGATTTGAACTAATTTGAATCTACACTACCTAAGGATGATCCCAAATGAGTTTCATCTTCGATCATGGCCCAGTGGTACTTGAGAAAAGGATTTTTAAAGATTTTCCCTTATATTACTCACAGGGGCCAGTAACAGGCTAAATTTGAATTTACGTATTGACTATATATATACAAAAATATATATAGTCAATACCTAAATTCAAATTTAGCCTGTTACTGGCCCCTGTGATATTACTATGTAAAACTTTGATTGGCCATTTTGGCCCCACCCTTCCCCCGGTAGTCATGATTTTAACAAACTTGAATCTACACTACCTGAGGATGATTCCACGTGAGTTTCATCTTCTTGCCAAGTGGTTCTTGAGAAGAAGATTTTTAAAGATTTTTTCTATATATTCCTATGTAAAAATTTGATTGGCCATTTTGGCCCCACCCTACCCCCTGGGGGTCATGATTTGAAGAAACTTGAATCTACACTACCTGAGGATGATTCCATATGAATTTTATCTTTCCTGGCCCAGTGGTTCTTGAGAAGATTTTTTTTTTAAAAATACCATTAATTTTTCTCTAATTCATAATTATTTCCCCTTGGAAAAGGGCCTGGCCCTTCATTTGAACAAATTTGAATCCCCTTTACCCAAGGATACATCATACTTTGTACCAAGTTTGGTTGAAATTGGCCCAGTGGTTCTTGAGAAGATGAAAATGTGAAAAGTTTACGACAACAACAACAACGACGACAAACAACGGACAAATTTTGATCAGAAAAGCTCACTTGAGCCTTCAGCTCAGGTGAGCTAAAAAGGGTTCACTATAAATATTCTCTTTAGAAAAGAAACAAATGACTTATTTTCTCCTACCTCTGTTAACTTTGACTTTAAAATTAGCATAAATCTGCGGAAGAAATAATGGTCCTTATGGTTATCATCTTCCGACAGTCTAGCATATTCATTTTCTGCCTCAAACCCAAACTTAAAGAAGGAACCGTCTGGCTTCAGCAGAAGTGAAGTTGGTGTCTTATAATCCATCAAATATTCGTTATCATGCCAGCTTTGTGTAATAATTGTAGTCCAATCAAACTTGAATGAATATGCGTAGCTGGAATAAATTGTGCCAAAATCTATAGCAGCCACAATCTGTCGCTCACATACAGACGTCTTGTTGTCAAATTCTATTACCTCTTCTGCGTCACTATCTGAATCTGAGAGGTTAAACTGGTCTCCCTGGTCCATTGTTCAAAAAGCTATCATTAAAAAACAATATATCTTATAAATTTTTTTGCTGACTTTATTTTAGATAAATTTCTTGTTAAGATGCCAAAAATTTTATTACATTTAAGGACGGCTTTATATAATTTATGTGCATCTTCTCAAAAAACATCAAATCTACTCTGACATAGTAAACAAACCTGAATACATGCTCACAATTTTTGAAGTTACTGAAGCAATAAATTATGGTTTAATTTTCTCATTTAATATTGTACTAAATCTCATTAATTCTAAGCTTTTTCATTCAACCTTTCAATGATAAAAACATTTTCAAAGTATAAGCATATTTGTATACCAATTTCATTTTTGGTGTTCTACAAAGCAAATTCTGCCCATATGGGGCTTGTCTTCCGGATTGATAAAAGTAAAATAATAGTAAAAAAATAGTATTTTTTCCAAGATGTCAGCTTGCGTCCCTTTGAGAGTTTATGTATATAGGTGTAGTACTTTTTTTAAAACATGTTTTTTCTTGCTTGATCATGTCAGAATCTTTATTAAAGCAATTTTTAGAGTGTATTTAATGTAGATAAAAATTTTTGAAAAATTATTTTACATTTATCAATCCGGAAGACAAGCCCCTATGATTCTGCCCCCCCCCCCTCTCTCTCTCTCTCTCTCTCACTTTTTCCAAAATATGACGTTTATTCATTCACATCTTGTCAAACATTTTTTTTCAATTAGGAATTCTGATCTCATTATCAATTTTTTCTACGATGCCTTTGAACTCTGAGAAATTCATAAAGTAATCGGTTTTAACATGTTTAAAAAATCTACTTTTGGTTTGTAAATTTGAGGATTACCACCTTGGTTGCCTGTCTTAAAATTACTTCTTTACGGCTTGTTGCTAGCGCTAGCAACTACGTTAGTCCATTTTCCTTGAATACGCATGCTCGGCTGCCATGGCCTTGCATTCTGGGAAAACTGTGAAAACTACTAGAGATAGACCATACGATAACAATTTTGTTGTATCGTGTTGTAGCATGAAATAACTGTTTATTTATTGTTTAGTTTACACTTTAAAGATAACTTCATATTTATAATATTTCAAAATCTGGGAGTTTTTTTTTTTTTTTTTTTTTTGCTGACGGAAATGCCCGAGTCATTATCTGAATGTTATAAACTATGACAAGGTTTTTTTGTTGCTGTTTTACATTCAAGCACAACCAAAGATATATTCTAATTTCTGATTGGTCAATTCAGTCAATCTTACAAATTCCAGAAACAGAAGCAAGAATGTACACTAAAATAAAGTATAAATCCACTATTTGTGTTTAAAAATTTCTGATCATTGGTGTGTATTGCTTTTAACTAGCTTACATCACCTCATACATGCAATGTCTCGATGGGAATCTCCTTTATATAACCCCCTCTCCAGTAAAGGTCATTGCCTGACGTCACGGCGTCAGGCTGTATAAGGATTCATAATTGCTTGATCCGAAACTAATAGATCATACCCAGAGAGCTAGATTTTGCGCAAGCTGATTTACATTGGAAAATTTTACCTGCATTTTAAAAGAAACATTTTTCAGGGAAACAATGATTTTACTGATGCAAAATAATGCAGTATTTACTTTGTTTACTCTATTTGCATGAAACAGACTATTCCATGTGATTTGCCGTTTCAACGTATCTGTGTATCTTTTTTCTGCATTTTTATACTACTGGATCAGTCCATTTATATTCTACGAAAGGGGTGAATCGCTCTTTTCGCGCTAAATGTCACGAGTAAGCGATCTTCGCGCGCCTTTTCTTGGATTGTCCTATATTGTATGAATGGTGGTGTTAACTTCCATGGAATTAAATAAAGTTTGTTATTGTAACCTACATCTTCTTATGATTCAGAAATTCTGTCTAATAAATTTTATCTTATTCTTTAAAACAACATACGAATCGTATGTATCAGAATATGGACATGCAAAACAAAAGAAATGATTTCTCTAATTTGTTTCCCCTCTGTTGGTTTATTCCAAATTTTAATGGATTAGTCCAATCACCACGAAGGATCGACGCAGTTCAACCAGATTTCAGACGATTTGATGAAAAAAATCAAAGTACTGAAAGTACTGAGAAGCGGTTAGCATGCTTTCATCTAATATTGTACCGAAAAAAGTGAATGAAATGATGATATGCATATCTTTGTCCAATGTTATCAGAGAAGAAAAAAAACAGACATTCTGTTTTAGTAATACTTTACTTAATAGTAAAACCAATGACATTCCAAACTGATGTCACAGATAGATACAATCTAATTAAAATTAGATGTTCCGAATCCGCTACTGCTTCTCAAACATCTAACAACATCCTATTTGGGGTCATGTAAGAGTGAATCTTTGATTAGCCAAGAAAATGGTTCCTCTGAAATCTTGGCTTATATTGATTGATTGTATACTATTTAACGTCCCTCTCCAGAATATTTGACTGATATGGAGACGTCACCATTGCCGGTGAAGAGCTGCCTTACGGCCTTTGAGCAGGATGGGATCTTTATCTTGCCACACCTGCTGTGACACGGGGCCTCGGTTTATACGGTCTCATCCGAAGGACCGCCCCATTTAGTCGCCTTTTACGACAAGCAAGGGGGTACTGAGGACCTATTCTAACCCTGCTCCCCACGGGGTTCTTGGCTTGCTTATATAGTTCAGATGGGTTTCTTGTTTTCACTACCGAACCAAAACACCCGAGGAGTTTTGTAGTGAACAAAATATGCATTGCAAAAGCTGTGTTATGTATGACGTGTGGGGTATCTTGTATAGTTTGTGCTCTTCCGTTTGCATTATTCACGTTCAGATGCCAGACTGCAGACTATACATGAAATTTATTCCAAAATTACTTTAATTCAACGTAAGACAGTATCAATAATGATGATATGTAGCCGTGGAATTAATTTGAGAATTGTTTACCGAGGCTTGAATCTACATGGCCAAAGTCTGTTTATTCATAATCGAAAGGTCGCTCTGATGTATGACCCCGAATGGGATGTTAGATGTTTGAGAAGCGGTAGTGGATTTGGAACATTTAAATAAATTTTAATTAGATTGAAATGCATGTTTCAAAATCTAAACATGAGATTTCTTCAGTTTGAAAGACAGAAAGTGCATTTTTAAAAGTTCTCTATTGGTGGCATCCAATCGTTCTCTGGATGAAAACAATTATGTTGATGTTGAAAATTTAATTGTCTTTCATGCTCTATTGAATCTGAAATTAGGTAATTGTAAAGTCTGCTATAGCAAACAACTAAAAAAAATGACAAGTTAAATTCTTTAGATTATTGGATTTTGAGTAGTGTAGATCTACAGCTGGCTAGTCAGAGAAAAAAGGATGACTGAGCAGAGACTTTGTAAATGAATTGATATCAGAGAACTCCATATGCGTAGGCTCATTGCGGGTGTTACCTGTCAATGGGGGATGCTTACTTTTTCTAGGCAATGGATCCCACCTTTTGAACTTTCAGGAGTCAGCTTTTCTTCCTAAATCGATCATTGATCATTCTGTATTTTGATACAGATACTAAATACTTTCGTTTAGTAATATTATGAACCACTACGGGAAGACTGGCAAGTAAACAAGATTATCAAGCATTATGAAATGTACTTTAATATTGACTTTTCAAACAATTAATTGTTCAATAAAGTAAATGGTATATGAGAATCATCTAAAAGAAGTCTTGCACAATATGTCTAGATAAGAACCTATAATGTGTATTTGCCATAATTATACTCTTCATGTAATATTGTTCTCAAATAAAACGTAAAAAGGAAAGTTGTCTAATCAATCAATACTAGTATTTAAAAATTCAAATGTACACTAAAAGTCAGTGAAACTTAAGAAGTTATAAGTGTCACTTTCTTCAATATGTCGGTTAAACAACATACACTGATTTCTTTTCTATCAATGTGCCTCTAAACTCCTGTATTTTATTTTAATTCTTCTCAAACGCTCAAAATGATAATCGACAAATTGGACAAATTCACATTTAAAAAGTATTTTCACAGCTAATAATACGTTCCCTAGGAATTGATCAAATTTTCAAAACTTATAAATAAGCATTAAGTAAATATTTTAAATTTTTGCTAATTGCCAAGATTTTTCATACCTCAAATGTCTGTGAATAATAATATCGGTTGATTTTTAGAAGAGGATCACAATGCCGATTAAAATTAATGTATATTTATCCATTTTTTTTTCAAAATTAATTTTACTACTTTAAGTGCCCCATTATTTTTTTCAAAACTAAAAGTAAGTGATCCCTTATGATCGTTTGTAATAAATTTTCAAAGACGGAGTAGAGAACTTACCCCTGGGAGCAGAGCTTTTATAATCTGTTTATTAGACAGAGAAGAAAAGAGAAGAAAACAAACGTTTCATTGTGGAGGTAATCCTATTGTTTCCATAAAAACGTTACAAAAAGTGTAAAACTTACAGATGTATTAGGTGCTTTTATAAAAGCGTTTTTCGGGAATTACTTAACTTAATAAATGGTGTTTCTTAATACTTTGGCAAGGAAAATCAAACTCGATCGAGAGATTTGCTGATGTTTTTGCAGTCTGTAATAACCTTCAACCTGCTGTATAATTAACCGTATCGTTCAACTTTCAAAAATAAACTAACAGTTGCAATAAATCGCAATCGCACGATGTACATGTAATAAGGACCAAATTCTCAGTTCTTTGAAGTTAGTGTTCTAAGTATTGTCAATGCTTTGGTAAATACTAATAAGAATTTGATATACATGTAATCGTTATAATAGCCACTCTTCATACACAGCATATTGTCAATCTCTCACCAAGGGGCGTATTACGCCAACGGTATACAAATCACAGGAAGCGCTTTGCTGAAGTTACCATTGTCGATAGGTAGCGCCTTGTGGAAGTTTCCGGTTTTGGTTGCAGAAGGATAAGGTTACGTGCCATAGAGCGATGTCGATAGGTAGCGCCTTATGGAAGTTTCCGGGTTTTTTTTAGCCATGCCATA